TTTGTTTGGGTTTCTGCTACAGTCCAGGTGGAGCCACCTCTGACTGTGCTCAGGCTGTCATCAAGAACCATGAGGGAAGGGCAGCAGGGACCTGGCAAGATGGAGGAGAGGCCCTGTACCTCCATCCCTGAACTTCTTAATGTCACAGCCCCTGCGATCAACAACCCTGACCCTTCAGGGGAGGGGAAGAATGGAAGGGTGGTAGCTATTATTTATTGAGCAGCTACTAAGCTCTAGGCACTACATCATCCACATTACACACATCCTCACTTGACCCTCACAATAACTTTACGAGATAGGTAACATTACTCATTTGATTGATGAGGCAACGGGTTCAGAGAGGTTAACTAACTTGCCCCAGGCCACACCGTGCATAAATGCCAGAGCTGAGATTTGATCCCAGGCTAGCTTTGACAGCAAGCCTGTGGACTTGCAGAGCTGTTTACATCCCCACTGTTGTGCATGAGAGTTTCTTTTTCATTCCTCACATTTTTTGTTGGTATATTATAGCTGAGTATAATGATGGGATTCGTTGTTACACATGTGCACATGCACACAATATAATGATATAATTCCTCCCTCCCTCCCCTCCTCTCACCTCCTGGTCCCTTTCCTCTACTGACCTCCCTTTGATTTTCATGAGATTCCCCTCCTCCCCACCTTCCCCCCCCTTTTTCCTCTCTAGCTTCTGTATATGAGAGAAAAAATACAACTCTTGACCACCTGAGTTTGCAATGATATAATTTCTTTTTTCTTTATGGCTGACTAAAACTCCATTGTGTATATACACCATATTTTCTTCATCCATTCATCCATTGATGGACACCTAGGCTGGTTCCATAGTTGGGCTATAAACATGGGCATGTGTGTATCACTATCATATGATGGCTTTAATTCTTCAGGATAAAGACCAAGGAGTGGGACAGCTGGGTCATATGGTGGTTCCATGCCTAGCATTTTGAGGAAACTCCATGCTGATTTCCATAGGAGTTTTATTAATTTACAATCCCACCAACAGTGTAAAATTGTTCCTTTTTCTCCAGATCTTTTATTATTATTTGTAATTTCTTTTTGTGGGGTTGAGGGTACCGGGGATTGAACTCAGGGGCACTCGACCACCGAGCCACATCCTCAGGTCTATTTTGTATTTTATTTAGAGACAGAATCTCACTGAGTTGCTTAGGGCCTCGCTAAGTTGCTGAGGCTAGCTTTGAACTCATGATCCTCCTGTCTCTCCCTCCTAAACTGCTGGGATTACAGATGTGCACTACCTGTTATTTGTGTTCTTGATGACTGCCATTCTGACTGTTGTGAGATGAAACCTCAGTGTAGCTTTGATTTGCATTTCCCTAATTGTTGATGATGAAGAACATTTTTCATGTATTTGTTGGCCATTTGTATGTCTTCTTTTGAGAAGTGTCTGTTTAGTTCATCTGTCCACTTAGTAACTGGGTTATATGGTTCTTTTCGGTGTTAAGTTTTTGGAGTTCTTTGTATAGTCTAGATATTAATCATGTCAGAAGAGAAGCTAGCACACATTTCCTCCCATTCTGTAAGATCCCTCTTCAAATTTCAAATTGTTTCCTTTGCTATGCAGAAGCTTTTTAATATGATGCCATCCCATTTATTAACTCATTTATTAACCTATTTATTATTGGCATTAGTTCCTGAGCTTCAGGGGTCCTGATGAGAAGGTCATTGCCTGTGCCCACATGCTGGCCTGTTGGCCCTACATTTTCTCCCAGGATTCTGTCCACCACCAACCTGCTGACCCTTAGGGCTGTCAGACTTTTGACTCCCGCCAGCCTGGGGGCTGTGAAACCATCAGCAGTTGGCGGGTGTCAGGGTCTGCAGTCCTCTTCCCACCCAGGCTTGCTCTCAGATGTCTCATTTCGGAGCAGGAAAAATGACCAGTGTGGGGTGGCGGGGACAGTTGTAGCAGCAACTTAAGACAGAGGAAGAAGCTGGAAAGAATGGACACAGGTCCTCAGGTCCCCTCGAAGCATCTGACCTCTGTTGGCAGAGCAAAAGGAAACTGGGATTCAGGGAGTGCCATGGCCTCATATTACAGCAGTGGGAACTCAGGAGGGGTGAGGACTTGCCCCAGGCCACACAGCACTCAGTTTCCTGACCTGCCCGTGCTCCAGCTCTGCAGCAGGTGGCCACAGGACCTTCCCAAGGGCCTTGACTTCTTCCTTACCTGTGCAAAGCCCCCGGCTGCCAGCCCTGACTGCCCCAGCAATTGTACCTCAAGGGCACCAGCCAGATGCTGGGTCCAAGTGGTCCCCTTGTCCCCTACTCCCTGCTCTCTTTCTGGGCAGTGAAACACTCAGGGGCTTTCATTGCAGTTGTTGGGATGGTTCTCTTGCAGAGAAGGGAGAGCGTGGGCTACATTGTACCATGCCCCCTCCTCCCTGCTGGGCGTTAGCTGGGGCTCCGGGGCCAGAACTGAGAGAACATCTAGCAAGAGCACAAGCTTTGGAGATGATAGTCCAAATGGACCCACCTCGAGCAGTGTGATCTAGCTTCAGCTTTTCCGGCACGTTCCATGACTAAAACACTCAAAGTCACTCCAGGTGAACTGGGCTGCACGAAATAATCACACAGAGACAGAGAAATACCTTTTTCTTTGGGTCCTGTGAGTGCTTCTCTGACCTTAGGAGTCCGTGGAAAGAGAGAGAGAGAGAGAGAGAGAGAGAGAGAGAGAGAGAGAGAGAGAGAGCGCCCGCGTTGAACCCTTTTTATCAGGGAGAAGCCATTCAAATGAGGCAAGGGGTCAGGTTTCAGGGGGTTGAGTCTAGCTTCCTGACATCTGTTGTCAGCAGGTTGACTGACATCTAAAGCCACGCCCATCTCATGAGCTGTGTGGGGATCAGGGCAGAGCAAGCAAAAAGACCAAAGCGAGGCCCGTCCAAACAGAGGGGCAACGGCGGTCCAGTCCACTTTGTGTGCTCAGTGCTCATAGTTCACACACACACACCCTGTGGCTGGCTCGCCACATCTCCACATTCCCATTGCTCAAGGCTAAGGGGCGCCTGGTTCCTATGTGACAGCTCCCGACACTTTCTCATCTTCTCTAAATTTCTTTTTTACTTGTCCCTCAAGCAACGTGGCACCCCAACAGGTAGATCTCTCTTTCCTCCCTTCCCGACCCAATACCACACCAAGCTCCCTCTCTTCATTTGCTCCAGTACCTCTCCACCTTCTCTCC